TGAGTTTCTGTGTGCAGTTTCATGTTAGCCACTGATCTTTGTCATTGTTCTCTGTGTATCTATAAATACCTATACAATTTTGCCACAGATACCAGCTATATTTGTAAAGTTATGTACTTTTTATTTGTCCATCCTTGACTCATCACACCTGACCTTTTGTGTGTAGCCTTTGACAACAAGTCCAACACATTATTGACCGTGACCTTTTATTTTCATCTAAGTCCCCTTTGTATATTAAAATAAGTTAAAAGTGACATCAGTAATGGGGAAATTATCAATGCACTACACCTATATATGAATCAAAAGCCAGTTTCAGTGCAAAAAGTGTATAGGTTAGACAACACTCTCACTCACTTATTCTCACACAGCCTGCAAAATACTTTGTGAATTAGATTTTTAGCATTTGTTCAGAATTCATAGTTGAGTTTTATCTGAAACGATTCATCCTCAGAGAATTCCATGTTTCACTGCTCCACAGCTATGAAAATTGTTCCCACAATTTGGTGGGCAAAAATAAATGAATAAATAAAAACATTTGTACAAATTTATTAAGAAGTCAGCACTTCATGTCCTTTGTTTGTTCCACCTTGATAAGGTGACGCTCCAACTTTTTAAAGTTCCACCCAAAAGTCTCCCTGTTATTCACATACTTTTCATTATTGCCTGCTAAAAATTCTGTTTTCCTGTTAAATAATAGAATTACTTGTCCAGGTCTATATGAGAATTCTGGGGTTCATCAGGTTTTGATGAAAGAGTGATTTGAATTTCCAACAGGCTGCATAATATGAAGAATTCTGCTCAGTTGGGCCTACTTTTTGGTGAAAGCTTGCAAAAGCTATAGCATATGCAAAAAACAATAGGCGGAGCACTTCAAGCTTAGTCCCCTAATTAGAACAATACATGAGCCGGTGGAATTTCTCATGACATTGTATGCAATATTTAAATTGGCAAAATCATGCTGACATCCAGTTTATCCCAAATGCCTAGATTTTTAGACTTGTCTCTAACCAACCACTGACCATGTTTTCAATCTTCTCAGCAGGCCGATGGAGCCTCCCTCAAAGAAGGAGGTTGTTCCAGTCATGAGGCGACCAGATGAGTGGAAGGACCCGTGGCGTCGGTCCAAATCCCCCAGAAGACGCCCCGGGCTGGGGTCCCCACCAAGAGGCCGGCGGCGACATAGGCCCTCAGGCTCCTCTGTCTCTCTCTCCAACTCCTCCAGGTGGGAACTCTTCTTTCAAGTCCTGTGTCATTCTGGTGGGGAGATAAGTTTTCATGAGTTGAAAAACAAGCAAGCAAGCAATTCATGTTATCCTGCTGTGGTAAAAACATCTTGTCTAGAAATTGAACTGCAGGTGGACCTTCCTAATAAAGGAGAAAGCTTAAAATTGTAATGCGGCAATCGCCGATAACCAGAAATACTGAAAAAAGGAATGACCGTCTGCCACGTTTCGAGTGATAAACTGTGTAATACTGCTCCACTCACTAGGTAGCTTAAAGTGTATGGTCTCAGACAGGCCCACTATTCATGAAGTAAAGGCTTGTGTATTTTACATTCAGGGACAGCTTGCATTCAGACTAGGGCTGAGCAATTTTATCGATTCTGCGATATATATTGATATTTTGTTTCCCCAGAAAGTATCGATACATTAAGTCCCAT